CTCCTACATTATAGAAGATATATCCTCCCCCTACCATTCAGCCATCCAATTTTGATCAAGAGAGCCCCACTCACCGTTTGATCTTAGATCCAACGTCTCAAAGTATTTTATTTTTAGTTTTTTTATATAAATTATATGAATATGAAATTTGGTAGGTGTCATCTTCTCATTGGGGCGCACCTATAAAAAAAATATAAAAATTAATTTTTTGATAAAATATAATGACCAGCATACCCCTTGAAGCTTTTAGGGGTATTTTGGTTATTTTATTTTATTGCAAATATTGTTTTTATATTTTTCTCTAGTGCGAGGTTAATACAGGAATGGACGTCCAAAATTTGATGTCAAAATAGTTTATAGAAAAAATTAAAAATAAAATAGTGTAGAGACGTGACATTGTGATTGGGACAATCTTAACCCTCCATTCAGAATGGACGGATTGGATAAGGGCAAGGATAAAACTTCTATGTTATAGGTCACAATAAAACTATTTGTCTATGATATAAAAAGGTCATAATTACCTCTTAGTCATTAGATATACAATCGGGGGCTGGTAGCACACCATTGACAATGCTTAAAGTTTTAAAAGTTCTTTCTCATACTTTCCAATTTTATTTTACTAGATTGGAGTGTCTGTGACCAAAAGCAATAGTCTCATGAATTAAAATCCCTTGTTTTTATGTTTATTTTGTGAGTGGTTGAGCGGGAATAGGGTCTCCAATCAATGGTGGGAATGGAACTTAAAAGATATTGTATATATATATACATAACCCCTAAAGCAAAAATCTAATTTGGATGATTTTTTTCAAACTAAAATTTTAGAATCCACTTTAGAGCCTAACCAATTTTGAAGAAAACATTTAGAACTAAGTTTCCTAAAAACTTAGATTTGACTATCCAAAAAACGGTTGCCCTATTCAATTAACACATTATTCTTTTCAAGCACATACAATGTCCAAAATTTCAAGTCCGAAAATTGTTAGCTAGGTTGAAGAGGTCATGTCCCATATTTTGGGTTCCATTTTTATATAAGATGGAAAATTATACAAAGGATCATTTATTTTTTATATAAGGAGGTCACAATTACTCTTGTATATCATATTTTACATCAGGTTGTTGTAAGTGAGTCATTGACTAGATTAAAAAAAAAAAAAAAAAATTGAACTTCTTGACACAAATCAATCTCTTCAATTTGAAATCGGATGGCTAGAGGTACTTGTGACCTCCTCGTAACAAAGGTAAATGGTCTCATAGTATACAATTCCACATGAGATTTCACCTTAATAAATGAGTAGCCGATATGAACTTGTGGAAGTTTTTTTTTTTTTTTTTGACAAGGTTAAGAATTTTTATTGAATGTGTGCTTTTAAAGCATCAGATTACACTGAGAAATTAAAGCATTAGAAATGAACAAGAAAAGTAAAGAGATGCTCGATTTTGCAAGGCCAACAACTGCATCATTGGCTTCACAATAGATATGGGAGAATGAGATCCGAAGCCCCGGTGTAGTGCAAAGATTGAAAATTTTCAACCAAAAAACATGGATAGACCAATGAATTCTTTGCTCATGCTTGCACCATTTGATGATGTTAAGTGAATTCCCCTCAATAAGTACGTCTCCCAATATGCCTTTGCTAACGATAATTTACAATCCTTGCAAGAGGGAGCAAATTTCAACTTGATAAGCCAAAGTGTTACCACAAGGACCCGCATAAGAGAAGATAATTGTCCTTTCATGGTCTCGAAGCAGGCCACCAACTCCGACAAGACCTGGATTGCTTGAGGAGCTTCCATCAAAATTAAGTTTGAGACATTTTTCAGGAGGCAGTTTTCAAACAAAGTAAGCACGATCCTTGTGGGAGAAAGAAAAAGCTAGATTTTTCAGATTGGGAGAAAAAAAAAGCTAGATTCTTCAGATTAACAAAAATATCAACCCGTGAAACTCCTCACCTTCACTGGTAGAAGAAAACCAATCCCATAAGAGTCTCTAAAATTTGATCTTTAACACCTTCCAAATCCATAAAAATCACATTAAAAGTTCTTCTAATGCACTCCAACCAAATCTGCCAAATGATAGTGCTTTTTCTGTTGCGCTCCAACCAAATCTGCCAAATGCCCTCCTATATATTTTTTCAAATAAGAACTCCTTTCTTAAAGAAGCTAACAGTATTGAGGTGATTTATAATGCCAATTAAGTTCTCAGGCAACATAATAAATAGTCCCAAATTTCTGAATGCCCAATGTCAAATACTTACGGTGAAAGGGGCAATGCAAAAAAAAAAAGGTGACAGCCAGATTGCCAAATACTTGTGGAAGTAATCTTTTCATTTTTGTTGTTCGATAGGGTGCCACCTAGCAAGAACTCTATGGGACCATGCTAAATTACCTTTTACCCCATCCATGGCAGAGAGCCCACCGATAGCATGTTATTGTACAATACATCATGTCATATGACACCATAACACGTTATTGTACGTATAATTCACATCATTCTTGCTATTTTGGCAGGGCTGGTGAAGAAAGCATAAATTTATTAAAGATGATGGAAATTTAACATGGATTTCTTTCTTAAGGTTAAATTTACAATAGGTGTTTGATATCAGCTCAGCTGCCAAATATTATTAGTGGATTTGTAGGTGTGTTGTTTTTCTGCTCGAGGTCAGCCACATTTTTTGCAGGCCTTGCGCGGAGAAGTGAGCTATCCATTGTCGACATCGGGTAGCTAAAGTGATGTCAAACAATCCTGACGTCCTTGGATGTACAGATTGTAGTGCATCCACCCTTCCAAAATTCATTCTGAATATAGATTAAGGACCCAAAAGTCCACATGTCAATCATCTTGACTGCAGCAATCATAAATTTAAAAAAAAAATAGGATTTTTGAAACCATAATAGCTACCGTGTTGTACTTTATTATTATTTATTTTCAATCTTCAGATGTTATCAGATCTACATTATTTTTAGAGCTCCAAATTTAAAGATAGAGGTAGAAATAAATTTGTAGTGATCTAAAATATATATCAAAACGTAAGATCCTCTAAAATCAATGTGGATGTATGAGTGGGTAGACTCACCAAACATTTTCCTTATTATTATTACTATTATTATTTTGAGGGATCAGGTATTCCTCTCAAATCCTTTTGGCCCATTGATGAAGTGGAAAGAGAGATATGTGAATGGGGGAGACTGAATGGGGGAGACATGTGTCCAAGATGTGGCACATGTGAAGCATGATACGACATTCAGAGTGACGTGTTTGCCCGACCAATCTTGGTCCTAAAAAACTCACCTGGACTACAAAATGTGGCTTTAGGACCAGGTTGGGCTTATAATCCGGTATTTGAGAATCCGGCTTGCACGTGTTTTCGATTTTCTGAATTACAGTGCCAATGACCAAGGTACGACCTGCTTCCCTTTGGCCCACTAGATAGGATTCAAGAAACAATGATGGTTTGGATCAATTAACTTCAAGCCTTGCCGTACTGATTTGATCTCTACCCATTCACAGTACACAGTACCATGTCCTAGAGGTCCTGAAAAAGTAACGTACCACTAAGGGTGACAATGGACCCGAACCCGACAGGTAAACCTAACGCCGGTCTAAGTATGAATTAAAAAATTGGATCCAACGGATCAAGTCCATGGACCTGAATACTATTTGGATCCGCATCCGGATCCAAGTGCGGTTTATAAAATATATATATATATTATATTTAAATAAAAATATACCTAAATATATTTTTATCAACATTATTTTTTTCTAATATATATATAAAAAAATTAGATAAATTTTTTTTATTTTATAGTTCATCTATTAAAAGTTCATTCCATTTATCCTGCACCATTTGTCCTAAACTCCCATTCTTTCAGAAATCACCTGCATTACATTCTATGGAGCTATAAGGTTTCTTTTTATCCTAGCAACATATGCGCCATCCTTAACGAAGTGTATCCTACCCTTAAATGTATATTATAAAGCCCATTATATCTGATGCTTGCAAATATCGGCCATTAATTTGTGTTGGCTTCTTTAAAATATTAACTTGTTCTTCTTGTTTTTTACTCTTATATATGACCGATACCCTTATGTATCAGTTTAGCCAACCCTAAATAATTGGAAAAAAGTTTCGAGTATAATGATGATGCTTATAAGTTTGGGCCCATATATCAGTTAAGGAGCACACAATGCAGATACAGATACTGATTTTCTAAAAACTGGTTTAAAGCAAGTTGAGGGTTTCATTTGAAAGAGCTATACGATCTCTCTACTCTCTGCAGAGTCACAGGGATTGAAAAGCCGCCTATATTGGGGATTGAAAATCCAAAACGCAAAAGCGATAAATAGAATAAATAGGCAATAGACAGGGGATAGCAGCAAGTGTTAACAAAAGAGAAGTGCTTATGTGGGATAACAAAATATATTTGTCAAGGGCATGTTTGGAACTCAAAGCCACTGCTATTACAAAGTTCAAACCAATCATCATCCGAGTCTTATCTCAACTATTTGGGATCGGCACAAAATATAAACCAATGGAAAGGTCAAAAACTACTGAAAAAATTCATTACTCATGCATCCATGTTGTTTTAGAGAGAGTAGGATTCTGTAAAAAGTAAGCATCAATTGCAATTGGCATTAGTATTAAAACCACCAATGCAAAACAATTGAACCTGAGCATGCTCAACAATGAGAATCTAATTACCAAGTCTCTCAAAGTTATTCCTAATAAGTGCGCAGAGCATGAGCAGGACCAGCCTCTTGACCTGGGTGATAAGGGTAGATGCATCCACAACATGACCTCTAGAGGTCCATTCCGATCAAGGTCCCATGTTAAACTTTGGAAGACAAACAAAAGAAAGAAAAACTATATGGGGTATTGGCAATCCAAAACCTTGGTTTTAATCAAAGAAATGCGTAAATTTTTTGTTTATGTTGGAAAAAATCACGAGAAAAAAAATTTGAAACAAAAGAAATGCAGAAGCATTATGAGACAAAACAAATAGGAGAAAAAACAGGAGTGCACATATAGCTGCACTCATATTGATTCTAATCACAAACAATCACCATCCGCAATGTCACGTACAATTTACACATCCTCCCTCTCTTTCCTTTTATCTTATTTTCTTCTCTTTTCCTCGTTTTTGTTTTCTATCTTTACAGTGCCAACAATGGTGCACCCACTTACACCCACTTGACAATTCTACCACCCAGGGCAGTATCTTATCTCGTTTCTTCACAAGCTCTTGAAATGCCATTTCATATACATTCATTGGTCTCCTGAGGCCACAAAAAATTGCTTGGGCGCAGACTAAAATAAAAATACCGGCTTTCGGGCATTTTGGGTATCTAACAAATGAATCTTGGAGAACTCAGTTGTGTTCCTATTGTTGCCTAGAACATGTTCGGCCATAGATTTCAGCTGTGTCTCCGTGGTTGGGATCAAGACAAAGGGCTGCCTGGCAATCTCGCATGGCTGAAGCCATGTCACCCATAGACTCGTGGAAGGCGGCACGAAGGTGGAGGAGCTGAAGGTCGGTCTTGAATGCAATGGCCTTTGATAGCTCTGCTATGGCATCTGCTTCTTTGTGATCATCCATCAATACTGAAAACCATGCATGACATGCTATGAGTATGTATGTAGACGGTATGATTATGTGCGTTACATGTAAGCATACACATATTGTTACCAACATTATAACAGTCATATGCATTATAGCATACATGCAACATATATAACAAGGTTACATGGATGACATGCTATCAAGTTTATATGCATGTGCATTGTGCCAGTTAACATGTTACCGTACTATCAACATGTATAACATGTTAACCCTCTTGCATAACACTGCATGATATGGCATTTTCATTGCAGGAACATGCATATTAATATTAAGCTAGTAAGTTGTTGAATGATATGTGAAGGAACTCAAACCATGGCATACGATAAAACAAAAGATTGAATTGATGACATGATTGATGGGTCATTACTGTATACATCATTAATATAAGGATAACGTTATAAAAGGTTGCAAACTTTTACTATATAAGGCGCACCTCAAAAATCTAGTAGAAAAGAGTGTTCCAATGTTGGAAAGCCGTTCCAATTAATCATCTCGACTTTGAGATGGATCGATATAAAAGAAAAAAAAAAAGAATTTCAAGTCATAAAAATAGTGCATCTTACAACAAGTTATCTGGATCGTATATTTTTAAGATTTTCAAGTGTTTATAGATCTATTCGATCAGTACGTTTTTTGGCATTTTCAATTTCATAATTTGGATTGAACATGGATTTTCGAGCCACGTAAGGATTCTGACACCGAACTGGTAAAATTTAGATGTGCACCTTATAAAGTATAAGGTGGGCCCTTTATACAAACCTCACCCTTAACATAATAGAATTGTCATTATGCTTATCATCAATGTGATATACTTGTTCCAAGTTATAGATGCGACCAAATAATTATTCAAGGATAAAAATGAATGCCAGCTAAAGCATGAAAAAGGTAAATAATTCGCTAATGGATCTGACAAGTGCCACTAACAAGCATTGAATAAGGTCGAACTCATTTGGGAGTAAATGTTACAGTGGACAAAGCCAAAGACAAAAATTTGTAATGAAAGTGAAGAGAGTTGCAATATTCATCATAATCTCTTCCTTTTTTAATCAAAGGCCAATTTTGAGGATGGCAAATATCCATCATTATACATACATACATTCACACATATAAACATTCTAAACCGCTTAGAAAGGGCCCTTGGGTCTTATTTTCTGGAAGTCCCTTTTAGAAGAAATGTGGGAAATCACGTAGTCCCTAGTGGTAATCTGCTGAGCACCATGAAGTTTTTCAATGTTCTTTAAGGATCTCTGTAGGAACTGCCACTCAAAACTCCATCAACTGGCCACATGATTGATTCTAGTGGAACCAACCAATTTTAAATGAAAAACTTCTCTTTTATAAAATAGTTTCTCTCTGATACATCTGCCTCTATTCGTCATGTATATTTACTACATTTCCAAGTTCTCACATTGGTACATTTAATCCATCTTAAATATTCCAAGCTTCCTACTTATAAACTCGGTGCATGCAAACTTCATATTTTTGTTAACATAGCATTTGTAGATTTTAGATTGACTTGTTGATCAAAATATTGACTAATTTTAATGTTCTGTGAATGATAAATGATTGGAAAATCAACTAACCAGCAAGAAAAAAAGAAAGAAAAGAAATTGGGATGGGTCATATTCTAATACTCATGCCACTATGCTAAAGAACTACCATAAGCTGGTTCTACTCTATTTTCTTTGACACTTTATCTACTTCAACTCTCACATAACCAAGGTTATCAAGACTGGACTGGACTGGCAGCTTTAGACTGGGAAACACAATAATGGTGCCCCATCAAGTCAACCCAACAACCCGAACCGACCTAACCATCGCATTGGCATCGAACCTGGGAATGCCAGGACAGGCCGGTACAACAGGTCTAGAATGAACCAGTTGGTACAAAATGAGTCCAAAATGACAAAAAACAAAGAGAGGACCTTTTTTTTTTGTTTTTGGATTTTTTTTACCTTTTGTAAGGGTTTAGGGCTTTAAAAACAAGATTTAGAGAAAGAAATTGAGCAATTTTGGAAATTTTTCCTTTCCCCTCTCTCTACCCGAAAAATTCAAAATATGGGCCAAAATATGGAAACCTTTCAAGGGATTCGAGCCACTCAGTCACGCTAAGTCAAGCCTCAAGTAAGTCCATTTCTCCTATTTTTTTATTTGTTCATTTTATATTTACAAAATATTAGATACATTTTTTAGAATTTGAGGTTTTTTGCAAAAAAAAAACAAAAAGGGTTTTTCTTCAAATCTTTGCGATTGGTTTGTTGCATTGAAGATGAAGTTTTTTTTTTTTGGCTTTAATAGTCTCATGTTGCAGGCATTTGGTTATTTTGTGGCTTATGTGCATTTTTTTGTACATAATTCATAGGGTTTTTTTTTTTTGAGTTGTCATTTTCAGTTACTTTTCTTGTATTTTTTGTTCTTTTAAACTTCAATAGAACTATGGAAGTATGTTGATAGATGAAATTGTTTCATATTACAGATTTTGCGTATTTTGGTTTCTTTTACGCCTTCGTAAATCATAAGTTCATAGGTCATGACTTAATGACCTCCATTTCATTGTTATTGCTTGATGAAGTAGGGCCTTATTTGAGTTCATCATGAGATATGGAGAATTTATATTTACTTATTTTGTAAATATGGTGTATAATATAGTGTATCAATTGATATATAGTTTTTTTGTATTTTCATATTTTTTATTTTTTTATTGTTTGACCTACCTAACCAAAGAACTGGTCTGAGCGAACCGGTGGCGTTTTAACTTCCTGTCCAGTCTTAATAGGTAATAACATAGCACAGTCATTCAAGCTTTACCTTTTTGCACTAACTAATTTTGATTCAAGGCTTCAAATATAACCCATTAAGAGATCTAAAAAATTCCAATTGCAACTTTGGTGGGAAATAAGGTACTGGGACTCGACTCAGCCAAGATACTTGTCCACTGGCCGAGGCAAGTTACTCGGGCAAGTTCAAGTAACTCGCCCGAGTCTAAAAAAAAAAACAAAAAACAAAAAAACAATGAGTTATATATAGATAACCTGCTCATATAGATAACCTGCTTTAAACAATAAGACTCAATGGGCACACTGGCTAGGTGGCATGGGTCCTCAACAAGAAGTTCAGGGATTGAATCCTGCAGATGAATATCATTTTTGAACCCCAGAAACCCTTACATTAATGACCCCTTTTTTTTAATAAAAAACATTATTTGGGCCAAAAAGACATTTAGATGTTGTTTATAATAAAATGGGCATACGTACTATTTATACGTGTACACCCTACTCTGCCTCGCCCTTAGGACGAGTCCAAGGAACTGGCCTGATTCTGAATCGACTTGAGCGAATCATGGAACACTAGTGGGAAGCATTTTTTACAAGAATTCAGAACTCCTCTAAAGTTTTGTGGTATACAAAGATCCTCCAATGAATGTCTCGCTAGATATTTAAGCAGAAGCCATCCACATCTGTTAACCACACTAGTCGTATGCCTTTATCATCCTCAGGCAATGCTTCGCTTAATGAAATTTTTCCTAATAAAGTAGTTTAATTGATATAATTCATTTTACAATTTAGTAGTTTCTCTCATAGTTAGCAAGTCGAGGGATAATAAAATATCGGCAGACCAAAACATCTGCAACAAATCAATTTTATTTCAAAAAGTCGGAGGAAAAATCGGGCCACAAATTACGGATCGCCAAAAAATAAGGTAAGCTATAGAATTGTGAATATTTCAGATTTGGTTCAAGAAAACGTAGTGAAAAAATCGGTCATGTAAAAATGATAAAATATAGGATTATGATTTGCAGCTATTGCATCGATATACTAAGGCCACTAAACAATAATATTATAGCCTTACTAGTGTCATTAGAATAATACTTAACAAGTTTTTGTTGAAACTTTAAATAAATCCAGCAACAATGCTTATTTTGTTGACACATCACAAAACATATCGTATATCTATTGCGACCACAAAATAAAACAACAACAACAATACTAAACACAAGAACTAATTAGTAAATAACAAGAACTGTGAACCAAGGTATAGGATTATTTCTCAAAAAAACGCCCTCAATATAGGATTGCAGCTAATTAAAAAAAAAAAATGCAAAAACCCAAATATGTAAAATAGTGGTCCATCCAAAATGCTATGTTGTATACACCAATAAAATACAAAAATAAAAATAAAATATGAAATTAATCAAACTTCTTTATGCATAGAAAAAAACAAAATGCTCAAGAAAATTTGAATCTCACACTAAATAGCTACCTAAATCTTTAGTATCATTGAATCTCTCTCTTGCTCAAGGACACTATAGGTTTAAAGAAAAAAATATATATTTTTCATTAGGTTGCTCTCCTTCTAATTTTGCCTATTATTTTAAGATATACGATTTTTTTAATTACTTTTTTTTGAGGAATACATTGCTTGTATTTTTTGTACATTTTTTCTTAAGATAGCTAATTGGTGAAATTTTTTATGGAATTTTTTATTAAATCAAGAATCGTAATTTACTCCCACTGTTAATGTATTTATCTTTAAATCAAAATTCAATAATATTAAGTTAACGAAGAAATAAAGTTATAGGGAAGAAGTTTTTTTTTAAATCTTTATTGAAAAAAAATAAAATATGGATTTAAATCGGTTCCATTAAAAAGTCGTGATTTTTTTAAGATCTTTTGAAATAATTAGAGTTCTTTTAATCGGAGACTTGCTAACTATGGTTTCTCTTCATCCCATATCTTCCTATTCATCCACATATCAACTCTTCAATTTTTTCAGTGACCTTCATAATTTCCCTGAAATTTCTCATGTGCAATCCTCTCTTCCACAGTTAGTCACCATACTCATCATTCATAGTAATCTACCATTATGAATGGTGTGCCAAATTATTAAAATGAAAAAAAAACAATTGAGTACTAATAGTTATTTAAGATGGGTGTGATTTGTATAGGGCACCAACCTTAAATAATCAAAGTAAGGCAAACCTCAATCGTGCCGAAAGATGCATTTTCGGTGCCGGAAACGTATGCAATTGCCTAAAAATCTAATTTCACTCCTAAATATAAAATTTAAAACTTCAAAAATGGTGTAGATCAAGCAGTTCTATAAAAACTTGAAAATCTAGAAAATGGACGGTCCAGATAATGTATTTAAAAATGTACTATTTCCAAGAATTGAAATCCTTTAATCTTCATATCTATACATCTCGAGGTGGAAATGATAAATAGGACGGTTTTCCAATGTCGAAACAAACTTTTCCAATGGGTTTTTGAGGTGCGCCTCACTTCTATAGTATAAGGTTGACACTTTATATAAACTTTTTCAAAATGGAAGTACATAAAACAGGGCATAGAATCTTTGAGAGTGTTCTTTTCCATTGCCACATGAGAACTGTAACATTATTGATTAAAGCTGTTTTTCCATCCTATTATCTACAAATACTTTTGATAACCAGACACAAAGTTAAGACCAAAATGGACATCAGCAGCAAGTCAACCATTCACAATTAACGTCATTCGTTTTTCTAAATCTCTATCTATGATAATTGGCAGTAATGGCAACAATTATACATCCCAAAACCAGAACAACCAACCAGCACCTGCCAATCACTACTTGGTAATGTTGATATGACAGATCAAAGCTTTTAAGGGGAAGTATATGATCCAATGGACTATCAAAAACCAGTCCATTGCGTTCATCACATTCCAGTGAAATGATGAATAGAGATGGAGAGAGAGAGAGAGAGAGAGGAACCTACTATTGGCGTCATGTCATCTTTTGGTAGGTCACACTCTCTCCATCACCATTCATCATTTCATTGGATAGCAACAACCACAATGGAACAATTTTTCCATAATCCAAGAATTATAGTAGACTCCCTTTAAGGAAACAGCATCTGAAGAGAAAAGGAAAAGCAAGAAAGAGCAAGATAAATGAGCACACCTGCAGCTCGGTATCTGTAAGGATAAATTCTCAATGGGTCTAATTGGGTTGCCATACTGAGATCACTCTTTGCTAAATCGCGATCACAGTACTCCGAGCGTTTCTCGTAAGCTGATGCATTATTTCTTGCTTTTTCAATTAGTTTAGTCATCTCATCATAAGCTGCTTTTCTCTCATTCTTCATATATTTAACACGTGCAAGGCCCTGGTGTGCTCGTGTATGCCTTATATTAAGAGCACTAATATAGCAGTCTGCTGCAAGATCAAGCTTACCACAGTCGACATAGACACTTCCCAGATTATTCAATGCCTAATGGAGACATTAAAATAGAGATTAGTAGGATATAAAATACACTAACGAAAAAGTTACAAAACTTATTTATAGTTTATATCCTTTTTCTGGGGGAGAGTACCAGTCCAAGGTACAGAAAATCATAGTCTGTTGAGATCATTGCCATTCAATAAAAAAGATTGACAGTGATGTAGCAGTGGAAGCCGCCATAACATGATGTAACCTAAGTCCTACTCTCAGTCTCCATGACCATCCTTCATTTTATTGGATGGTGATGAACCCAGAGGATTATGACTTCAGTTAGTCCATTGGATTATAGTATTTGTTGGATCTTTATAGATACATTATTTTCTTTAAGGTATCCTCAGTCAGTACCTGTCCTTTGCGTAGCCCATCAGAAGGGCATTTCAAGGCCTCCTCAAGAAGCATGATGACATGGGCTGAAGCCTCAGAATCCAAGTTCGCATCTGCTAAAGCATAAGCTTTGAGGAAAAATGCTTCGAAAGACCTCTTGATTGAGAGGGACTCCTCTGCCTTAACCAAAGCATCTTCTCGATGACCAGTGTCATATAAGATCCAGCCTTCATACACTAGCCTCTCATAATCTGAGCCAGAACTGTTTCGAGCCAATCGAAGACTACGCATTGCAGCTTTCTGACAGTTTAACCTATACAGAGAGAGACATTTCCTTTAGGATAATCATTTAACTTGGCAGTTCCAGCAAATAGGTGAAGTGTACTAAAATCGACTGTCATATGTGGTAGTCCATAGGGGCATCCACCTTCTGTTCCTGACAACGGACGATGAAAATTAACCAAAGAGGAGCCAGCATCCATTCACACATACCGCTAATCAATGGTTTAAAAAACGGATCGGTGACCCGGATCGGGCTTCCCAAGAACCGATCCGGATCGGTGAATCGGCGATCCGGATCGGGAATCGGGTGAATCGGTCAGAATAAAGCTTAAAAAAAATTCGAAAAAATTATTAAAATTCATTATAAATATTGTTTTTTAGGAATTC